AGTGGACGCCGGCGCCGTCTATATGTACGATGGTCGCAGTCGCTTTTGCTGGTCGGTCCGATCCGATGCAGTGCGCGCCCTCCTTTAGGGATCGGCAAGACAAGAAATCTTGTCTTGACAAGCAATTTCTTGTCTTGTCTTGAAATATTTTCAAGAATTAAAATAAAATCTTGTCTTGATAATTTCTTGAGAGTTGGTTTCTTGTCTTGATTCAAGAAATCTTGAAATTTCTTGATATCTTGACAAAAGGGGAACTCCCGTTTAAAATTCGTTTATTAAAGGGGAACCCCCTGTTTAAAAGTCGTGGTGAGATTGGTTAATGTGATGTTATGCTTTAAGTGCTGTAAAATCGAGTCAGGCATCTAATTTTCAAAAAATTCAAAAACTTTGGGCTCATTATACTACAGTAGCCAAAATCATCAGATTTACATAATTTTGTTAATTATTATTATTATTATCTAACATTAAAATGAGTGATTGTGATGGTTCGTTGAGCAGCAAATTTGAGCCATTCGTAATTGAATCTGGTTCAGAATACTTACCACCTCGGTCACCTGGACGTAGAAATTTAATTAGTAACTTTGACATTAGTGACGGTGATAATACTACTACAGATAAAAACAGTCAAAACAACAATGATAAAAGCTACTCTATTTCAGTGGCGTACATTAAAATGTATTATTTTTTTATTTTAAAAGTTTTACATTAATTCAAAAAGTCTGTATGCCACTGAAGTAGAGCCGCTTTGCAAAGTTTTTTTTATTCTAATATCGTAGGCCATAACATATTCAAACAATTATTAAAAAAGACATTTAAAAATTAAAAAAATATTAGGCATTAAACAGGTTCCAATTTAATTTGGCCCACATGTATGCCAACTTTGGACATCCGACTTTAGACGTACTTATGTCAACTTTGAACATTGATCCGCCAAAGTGCCGCTTCGTACAAATATTTTTTGCTTAATAATTTTTTTGTCCATCAATTAATGGATATTCATATAATATACAAATACCTAAGTAAATGAGTATTTCTTTTTTATTTTATATTTTCAAGAAATTTCAAGATTTTCTTGATTTCTTGTCAAAAAATCTTAATCTTGAGAAGTAATTTCTTGTCTTGTCTTGAAAACCAAAAATCATTTCTTGTCTTGATCTTGTCTTGAAATCAAGACAAGATCAAGAAGTTGTCAAGAAAATGACGACCCCTATCTGGAATCTAAAGGTGCTTTGACAAAATCGTTTAGTTCTGGAAGTCTTTCAGAAGATACTCTACATGTTTTGGAAACTGGTGATGAACTCTGGAGCACTCTAAACTGCAATACTCTGTTTAACAACATTATTTTTAGCACATCAATTTTACTTCCAAATTCTACTGCAAACTTCGAGGCAAACTCGATTTCGGGATCGACTTTAATATACAAAATAACCTGCTTTTGTAAAAAGCAAGTAACTTTACAAATAAAATATCATCCTTCTACAAAAACCACAAAAACAAGAGTTACAAAGGCACGCTGGGTATATAAGCTTAAATTTTCAGACACACTTGATAAAGCATTTTGATATAACAAATAAATTATTTATACCAAAAATTAGTAATAATCGCAGTGTTAAATCCGAGGTTAAATCAGAGGTAAGCAATAATTCTTCAAATACCTCTGAGGCACAACCAAAAATAACTTCATTTCTAAAAAAGCCTTCTACGGAAAATACCGAGGAAATTACAGAGGCATGCAAACCCTCATGTAGCAAAATTGTACCCCTTAATCTAATATGTGAAATGTAAAAATACTAGACTGCGTAATTATCCCCCAACTAAACGAGCCTCGGAACTACCCTTATCAGCCACCACTTTAGCCATACCATCCACAAGCAATAATAATTATCTCCCCGATGTTACCCCTTTACTACCATTATCAGCTGCCGCTTCAACCTTACCGTCAACAAGCAATAATTCAATTTGGAAGTCTACAAAATACAGCCGCTCGCAAAGGAATAAAAGAAAAATTGAAAAGTTTCAGTATAATCAACCTCTTATAACCAACTTTATTTCGATATTAGAGAAAATAAATTCTACTCTTAAGGAAAATGGAAAAATATCGAAAGCTCTTAAGGAAACGATGATGGTTTGTCCAAATGAACCCGAGAATGAACCTGATGAGAATAAGCCAGAATCGAGGCCAGAATCAATGCCATCAAACAAATTTTTAAACATGTTGCTTAAGACAGACTTTGGTACTAATTTGGCATTTTTGGTACTTTTTTCCCAAAATTGGTATTTATTGTACACCATTTTTGGCAGCGGTTTGCCCCTCGTTGCTATATTTTACAAATAGAGTAAACTGAAATTTTTAGTATGTAAAATATAACAAGTACTGTTAAAATACAAAGTGGTTTAGTACTAAACCACTTTAGACAAGCTAAATTAAGTTGTTTTAACCAAGGTACCGATGATAAAAAAAAGTGGCGCTCGGTTGGCTTGGAAATGACGATCGATGGCTCCAATACAAAATACCAGTGATCTTAATTTTCAAGCCATCTCTGACACCGTTTTTTTCAATCGTATACTTTTTTGATTCTTAAAAAATGATATTTTAAACTAGTGGCGATAATCTCAAATAATAGCTTCCTTTTTCACTAATACTTACACAAATAAATTTTAAATATATTTATGTCGGTCTCCCCATTATAAAAAAGAATAATTTCATTATTTTTCCCTAGAAGTCTTTTCTCCATCAATTTAAAACTATTCAATGGTGGGAAATACTAAACTTAGTGGACAAACACGCTAGCATTCATATAAATTAAAACATTGTAATAAAATAAAATGTCTGCTTTTGATATGTTATATTAGACTACCTAAAATGTTTAACCATTTATTGTACTCACAAAGAAATAGTTTCTTTTATAATAAATATAAATATTTAAATAGGTTTCTTCATTTTATTGAGTTAAAATAATATATACAATTAAAAACAAGATTCCATGAAAAAAATATACAGGGCATTCAATTTATAAATGTTAAGGGTACTAATTTGATAGCCATATTTAAAAAATACTACTAATTAATGTAATAGATCGAAAAAAAAATTAATATAATAAAATTTCCTTTATAAATCAATAATTTAATCAATAACACACTTTACACAGGTTTTTTATCTTTACATTTTTTTTAACTGATCCATAACATATAGAAGTGCACAGAATTATGAATAAAGTATACTTCTGAGAATTCTTCTTGCTAAAATATTCGTTTAAGCCTATAAAATTAACTGTAATTTTATTCTGAGGTACAAACCTATATAAGATATGGAAATGTCAAATGTTCGCAAGCGATTGCGTGCCGCGGTTTGAAGACTAGACTTTTTTTAAATTCTTTTGATTTCAAATCAGGCCGTTTAGCAGTCCAAGAACATAGGCCTTCAAATAAGTTTTGACAAAAACTTGAATTTTTCATATAAGTTACTTTGAAAGACCTAAAAACGAATTGTGAAAGATTTTTTTTAAATTTGCCCCCGAGAAGGTGTGAAATAAATAAATAAAATTGGTTTTTCGAAAAAATTCGGAGAATCGGTATGGACTAGAGAAAAATCAAATGGAAGTTGTAGAGAGTTAAATTTTACATAAAAATGGTCTAATATCAAAATTAACCGAGATAGGGTGGCTAGAAGCTAGGAGACAACTTTTATTAAAACATTTTTTCAAAGTCATTACCGTTTCTCTGAAATTTGGAAAAAATCACTTTATATTTTTCACCCCTTCTTGGGGTGAATTTAAAAAAATCTTAATTGAAATTCATCATTTTCCAAACAAATTGAATAAAAATGTTAAATATATGCATTTTTCAGCGACTTACAATTTTTTTAAAATTTCTATCAACCCCTAGCTTCTAGCCACCTATCTCGGTTAATTTTGATCTGAGCAAAAAAAAGGTTAGAGATCATTTCTATGTAAAATTTGACGCTCCACAACATTTATTTTCTAGTTCTTATCGTTTTTCCGAAATTTCCAAAAAAATAATTTTATTACATATATTTATTTCACCCCTTCTCAGGGGTGATTTAAAAAAAAATATTTCACAATTCGTTTTTAGTTCAAAGTAACTCGGTGGTTTTATTGCAAAAGGTCCTATATCGAAATTTTGCCGTTTTTCTTGTTACAATATAATATGGTAATAAGTTCAATGATCTATAAAAATCATATGGTTTCATTTGTCAAAAAAAAGCCAAATGGAACCTTTTTAGTAAGGTCCGACCACGATCTGTCTAGGTTACAGTCATTCTCGGCTAAAAATCAGGCCGAGATCTCGGTCTCGTTCTCGGCATAAAAAGGCCGAGACTGCTCACGACCGTCAAACTAGCTTATTTTTCAGCCTCTGGCTCCACCTATCGATGCGTGGATGAATGCAATACTCGTACGAAGTCGAAAAAAAAAAGAACGGATCATATCTGATTCATATATGATCTGATCGAATCACGAAGAGGGTTTCCCGGACGACGAAAGAATGGCCTTCGTATTTCTATGCGTAAACAACGAACGAAATGTTAGATGTTAGTGTCTTATTAATGTAAGTTTTATAAATTTAACAGAATAATTGTGCTTTTATATGAATTACTCAGTATATCATTAATAAGTAAAAGTTTTGTGTTTAATTATATACCCCCATGCAGATTTCTGAAACCAGCAACTTATACATTTCTAGTCTGTACCACCAAGCGTCTCTAGCAAACAACTATTTAGAAAGAATAAGAAAAAACAATGCATAATTTTTAAGGATGCAATGCTTAAAATTACTTTTTTAGCCTAACACAGACTAAAAAAGTAATTTTATTAATATTAGTAATTTTATAGTATTAAATTCCAATAAAACCGTTTCTGCATGAAAATAATGATTTTATTACATTATCAGATGTTTTTTCATATAATAAACTATAAAATAAATATTGGCATTGTGTCTCGGTCTCGTTCTCGGCCGAGAATTCCTTTTTTTCTCGGTCTTGGTCTCGGTCTCGGCCGAGACTAAAAATCCAGGTTCGGTCGGACCTTACTTTTTAGCCCAAACGGAACCATATGATTTTTATAGAATTCGAAATTTTGGCCAAAACACGTTTTTCGTGTTATAATAACATCGCAATAAGATTTCGATATAGGACCTTTTGCCATAAAACCACAAAACTTTATCAAAAATTCAAATTTTTACTAAAATTTCGTATTTAAAGACCTATTTTCTCAGGTTATAGAGCGGTTGTCTGGTATTCAAATCTATATTATTGTTTCTTTTTAGCAAAAAGAGGCCTCAATATATCCCGCAGTAATTGTGGTGTGTCTGTGTGTATCATAATTTCTTCTTGTTAAACACATTTTAATGCATTGCACTTTACTATAGCTAAATAGAGATTTGTCACTCGATTTTTAATTCTCTAAAGCAAAAGCTATAAAAGTATTAGGTAGTCATATAATACCTAAGAGTAGTCTCTAATTTTATTTCCATTAGGCGAAACCGGGCTGTACAATTAGAGTACCCAAATTGCCGAATGAAAAGTATTCTTTAGATCACACCAATTTTCTAGACTTCTTATTCATCCCCATTCAGTTCCTTTCGATTCACTAACTTTAAAAACTTACAGGTCACACCAAATTATATTATTTTAGTTTATACACAGTTATTGACTGCTTCATCTCTGTCTCTCCCTCTCTCTCTCTCTCTCTTTCCGTTTCAATTATATTAGATAGGCTAAATTGAAACTAGATATACATTTTCTTTGAGGAGAATATGAGAGTCTATATCTACAAAATTAAGTGAAATAATAGGTATAAATAAAGAAAATTGTTCCTAAAGTCTGATAGACACAAATAAATATTACTTAGGCTAAGAACATAGTGGAGCGACGAGGATAGCGGCGAGCAAGCAGCGCGACATTGCGTCAAAATAAACCTGTGAAGTACGTGCGAACATAGTAAAGCGATCTGCTCGAGCGGTTAGATCGAGCGGCGAGATCGATTCAAATAATTTTGTTTTCGTCGCTCTGTCTCGCTGTAGAAAACGATGGATTCCTAAATATTGATAGATTTAGTGTTTGTAAGAGAGATTTTGTGGTACCAAAAAGATAGTAATCACCATAACCACTACATTTTAGATAAAAGTTATGAGATGAAGTGGCAACAAATTTTCGTAAAGGTTATGAAATTTGCCACTCTCTCTCCGGTTTTTGGAAATTTCAAAGACACTACACCTTCTGGCTTGTTAGTTTCGAATAAACTAAATGTTTGCAACACTATATTGTCCAGAAAATTATCAATAAGCAAATGAAAATAATAACGTTGCAAGTATCTCGCTATTCCTCGCCGCTCTATCGCGCTCTTTGCTCGCGCGAGGCTTGCGCGACGCGGTATCGCGCTCTTTGCTCGCCGCTATCCTCGTCGCTCCACTATGTTCTTAGCCTTACTTAGGGTTTCCAAACCGAGATCCCGGTGTATGTTTAATCCCGAAATCCCGATATTAAATCCGGGGTCCTGAAAATCTCCAAACATTTAAATGCCTATTCTAAAATGATTCGACTTTATACACTTTAGTCTTTCAAAATTCATATTTTATCTATACTAAGTAGACGTTAATATGTAAAACATACATTTCCGTGTTTGCTATTTTAATAAAGCTCTTATCTCATAATTCTTTTTCTTTTTGATTTATGTAGCTGCATTTTTATTATGATTTCTTTAGATTAAATTTCTTTCTTTCGGGATCCCGAAAATTGGAAACCCTATACTTACTGCATTTTTCTATCTAATTGATACTACGAAAACATTTAATGTTTAGTTACAATATATAAAGTTTATTGCACATATATTTGTCTTCTAAATACTTATTTAGGGAAAATACTATTATACAATAAGGAATGGCAACAATATATCGATATTAGGTTGAAATTAAAAGTGGTTTTTCTCTGATTTTGTCTTATATACTGACTAAATCCTAAATTTAGATTACTACTATAACATCAAAACATTTGTGTAGCTCATTCAATTTTAGTACCGTATGATCGAATAAAAACGGCGTCAGCGATGGCTATGAAATGAAGATCGCCGTCATTTTATATGTAAAATTATATGGGAAATGTCAGCGATTGTCATTTCCCAGCCAACAGAACGCGGTTTTTTTTTCGATCATACGATATTAACCATAACCAGTGTACTACAATTTTTGATGAAGTTGGTCATTGTAGAGCGTTCTGTATTTTTCTTTGCGATTAGAAATACAAAATTCGATAAGATCGAAAAAAAAACGGCGTCGGAGCTGGTCTGGAAATGAGGATCGCTATTGTTTCATATGAAATTATATACGAAAGTCATCGATCGTCATTTTCAATCCGAACTGGCGTCATTTTTTCCCACTGAAATATTTCCTTGGTCAAAGAATTATTTTTTTACCAGGTCAACGGCATTAAGTCTATTTTTTTTATTGATATTCAGATTTTTTATTTATATTTGCCATCCCTATAACTACCATATACAGTGTTTCAAATAAGCTCCACATTACGTTTCTGATTTCAAATTCTCACTTCAATATTTTCTACAAATTATATAGGCAAAAGTAGCACAATTATAAAAGCATATATTCATAGAAGTATGGCGCGTATCAAAATTTCTTTAATTGATTTTTTTTTGTAACCAAATGATTTACCAAAATTCTTATTAAAAAATTCCATATCTTGACCTATACTGATTATATACTAATTTTTCCTTTTTTTCTTAACTAATTGAAGGGCTTATTGTAATAACATGATATGCCACAAATCCATAATTCTGAACTATTATCCTTTAGTGAAAAAATCAGTGGTGTAACTAGAAATTTTGGTCTCCCCGCAACTTTCGGCACTGGGCCCCTGGCTCCAATATAAACGCGGGTTTTAGCCTACGCCACTGGTAAAAAATATTTTTCTGTCGCCCAGTATATCTATGAAAATATACAAATTTGCGCTACTACTGACCAGGTAGTTTATAAAAAAGTTCAGAGTGTCAAATGGGAAATCTACTTTTTTGAACACCGTGTCACCCTGTATATGTATACTCAATAATCGATTTAACCTTAGTAGAGTGTATGAACTCGATTTGTCAACGAAAATGTACATCTAGCTTATATTTTCCAATTATAAATAACTGCCTAAAAGTAAAGTCTAGTAAGAAACAAAAAAACCTTAAACTTAATAACACCAAAAGAATAACCATTTAAAATTTGTTCAATAGCAACGTACAACAGCGATAATTGATGGCATCTTAAATGGATATTTTTCCCACAAAATTAATTGCTTATTTTTAAAATTTAGTATCCATATCTTCTGCTACATCGAGAGAACTAACAATTTCTAAAGGCCAAAGTGAGTAATTTTATTTCAAATTTGTCGTGTTCTAAATTTAATTACTTTAATTGTGATAGATTTCTTTTAAAAGTTCTTCAAATAGGATAAATTTTCTATGTTATCAAAATAACACAAGTTTGAAAAAAAACTGAACTTTGGCGTTCTAAAATTTTCTATGAGAAAATGATCGGTTGTTATGGACTTACAAGAAACAAAGAAAACCATACAAATAAAATCTTTATGTTAGAATTCAATAATAAAAGTATCTACGTTACATTTCACCATTTTGTAAATTATGTCGCATACAACACCTAATATACAAATTAATTAATAATGACCTAGTAGAGAAAAAAATTGTGAGGCTATTTACATGGGAATTGTATACTGAATGTCCGAGCTGCAAAAAGAAAATGAAAGATTGCCACAACTTGCTAACAGATTTTGATCTGAGTACTAGTGTACAGTATTGGACATCATTACAGCAAGTCACATTATTATTTTGCTCTACAATGAATTGTTATTAAATTCACTAAAATACGTTTATTTCAAATTTATATATTGCTTAATACTGCAATTCAGTGATTGATTAAGGTCTTGATTTTTACTAGTTTCAACTATAGTTGACACTCCTCTGTCATATGTGTCATACAAAAATACTTCAATATTTTAATAAAATTTAATTTTAAATGAGTAATCTTATGTTTAAAAGCAAAATATGTTTTATATAGGATATTTTGATTTTTAGTCTTGTTCCAGTAAGAATATTCTCAGAAGAGGTATACTAAGACAATGCATATAAAGGTAAATCAGCTAGTAATTACTACTGAAACTGTCAAATGAAGTGTCACATAATTGTAAATTTAATATATAGACATCAATACTGTAGTTGTTTATATCAGTTGACTAAAAAGCAGCTGATTAGCAATTGTAGAACTGTATTTTAAGAAGAGAAAAAGAAAACCATAAAAAAGCAGGTCAGTAATACTGTATGATAGAAAAAAAAAACGGAGTCTAGTTGGCTTGGAAATCGATCCATGACATTCCCCATATAATTTTACATATAGAATGACAGCGATCTTCATTTCATAGGCATCGCTGACGTCGTTTTTTTAAAAAAATAATAATTGAAAAAAGTAATGATATATTAAAAAATGAAAAATTAGATTTTTCAGAATTGCATAACTCTAGCTGTCAAAACTGTGGCGCAACATTGATAAGAAATATATTTTTTTATTTAGTTTAATGAAAACTTCTAAAAGATTAATATGACGCCATTATAGAACACAAAATATACTGTTAAGTAAAAGCTACCTGGTAATTTCAAAGCATTTTTAAAATAAAAATTTAAAATCGAATTCTGAACTCAATTTTTAATTACCATACTTTTCTGTATTTTGTTACCTAACCTCACTTTTTTACAGTCATGTCAGTTGTTACTAATGTTTTTTTTTGTTATTGGACATGCTGTATATGACAAATTCCGATTAGTTATTCAATAATGAGATATTAGAATTACGTCGTCAGATCATCACTTAGTCAACCCCAACGTAAAAAACTGGAGTAATTTTGTCCGATACTGTAATTTTCAATAAGTAATTAAAACTATGCAGCTTAAACATCCCGTATAGGGCCGTTATCCTTGCATTGCCGACAGTTCGTCCTACGATTTTATTATACAGAGAAACGGAAAACGATAATAAAACCTCGCTACGTTCTACGTATTTTTTCCCACTTCGTTTATATACGGTAGAAAACATTTATTTTTTCAGTACTAGTAGAATAATGTAAGATAAACATTCTAATACATTATCTAAAGGCAAATACAAGGATCGAAAGCGCATCTTGTGAGAACCGCCGCACGCCCCTGGGCCGTTCGTTCGTCCGTCCGTCTCCAGGCTAGAGGCCGTCAAGATTCAATCAAGTCCAGTCTGTACAACGCGCGCATTAAACAAATGGAAACTGCTCGGCCTGCGATCCGCGACGCTCGGCCTCGTCGGCACCTCGGAGGACCCCTGTTGACGTCGTACGTGCCGGAGAGGGGTCTCGTGACGTCGCCGGGTGGTGTGGTGGCGCCTAGGCGACCGCCGAACCCGAAGCGTTCTGCAGCGGCGCGCTGGAGGCGTCCGCGGAGCCGTGGTCGGTGGCGGAGCCTGCGCCGCTGGTGTCTGGGGCGCCGCTGCTCTCGCCGGTGGCGGACTGGCCGCCTTGCAGGCCTCGCGGCACCAGCACGCTGTTCAGGGAAGGTTGGATGTTTAATTCTGAAAAAAAAACAGGATATAATAGTAACATAAATAAGTTTCAAAATAATAATTATTATTGTCAAAATAATAATTATTATAGGACAGTTTTTTTCAGAGAAATACAATATTTTCAGGACACTGTTTTAAATAATAACAATGATTCTTATTGCGAAGCCAAGCTCTGTATAGAGAGTAAGCAGCTCCCGTTCGACAATTGGCTAATCCTCAGTAAGAGCTAATTGATATTCGGAATTTTGGAGTTGCACTATTGCGCCAGTGTCTGCCTAAAAGACGAACTTATGTAAAATATACATAAACCGGTTATCTAGTTGTCTTTAACTCGGCTTCAAATCCAACACATTGCAGGGATAGGCGATAATCTGTATATAGTTTATAAGTATATGAACAATGCTAAGGATACTACCATAAAAATTTATGGACAAAGACAAAGAAATGCTGTGTTAAATAAAGATGAACAAGGTGGGATTGAATTTGAATGAAGCAAACGCGTAAACAGAATGACTATTTATGTTAGGGATTGCAACTGTAAAAAAAGACTTCATAATGTCAGTCATTATTTTAATAGTTTTTGTACTTTTAAGCACAAACAGTTCTTTTAAGAACTAAACGCGTTTTTGTATTGCATTTCTTGAAATTGTGTGTTGAAAATATGCCAAAGTATTTAAACAGTCAAAGCAAAGGGCTTGTAGCTTCCCTGAGAAACTATTTTGAACGAGAACGTGACAATATAAGTAGTACTTTATTACACTTGATTGCAGTCAGAGAAGTAAGTTTGATGGTAGGCAAATTATACCACTTTAAAAGTTATTTCTACGTTAATTTTTAGTAAATTCTGCTGCATTAATAATCACCCTCTTATTTGTTATTACCACTTGTGGTGTTTTAAGTTGTACATCAATAAATAAATAAATAACCCATAATAACGCTTAGAACAATCTTCCTAGTTTTTATCAATATGTAATAAGTTAAATTATCTATAAAACAAATAAATCAATTAATTACTAAAATATTAATTATTAAATTTAAAATAAAACGTAAAAATATTTTAAAAAAATGACAATAAATATACTGTTTCCCAATTTTACATTAAGATTCATCCCATAAGTCCATCAGAGTCTGGCAGCGTTGTCGCCATCGCTTGTCGCTCAAAGTTGATCAAGTGCATCGGAAATTGTTTTGCAATTACCGTGTATATAAATATTCCTCTATACTCTGTTTTTTTTTCTCAGGTAAGATTTCGACAGACAATGACAGAAGAAAAGCAGATGACGTCCATATCAATATATTTATTTTACTAAAAAAAAAGTTTCTAATATTTTTTAAGTTAACTATGGATGGGTTTAAATCATAGATTTAGGAAGAACAGATATCACATTGTGCATTTTAACCCAATCAAACAATGGGAGGTTGACTACGTACTGTAAACACCAACTGAGATAGAGGGCGACATTGCCACATCTCAAATTTGCGCCTATCTACTTAGTTTGATTTGCAGAAAAGGTGACTTTAAAACCTTCACCGGATATCAATAAATCTCAATTTCTTAATTAAATTAATAGTTTATTTTTAAAGAAGCATGCGTGATTAACCAGAGGATATATGCGTTACTATTAAAGGACATGTTTACTGTTTAATGTGCTAAAACGTCTAGAACTATTGGCAACGTCGCTGCTAGTCTTCCAGAATGAAAATGAGCCGTCCGTCCCACCACCCCTCGCGACGGCCCTTGGTCCGTTATAGCGTACTAAGTTTAGCTTACGGTGTGTTTGAAGTCGGAATCAAGTCTGAAGTGAACTTACTTTTCAGTGTTTTCAGTAGTTTTTGCTTTTGTTTAACGTACTTTTGAATCTGGAAATTTTCAATATGGTACTACAGTATCAAGTGTGTGGAAAAATAAGCTCAAATTACCCGAATTTGTCTTTTCCAGGTAGGTACAAATTTCCGCCCTAATTGTACGTAGGCGTCCCACAAGGGAGCCCCTTACAATTAAAATAATTTCTAATTATATTTGTTGAATTTTGATCTATTAAAACAAGAACGTAGTAGCCGGTAATTGAATTATAATTCATCTCAATTACTACCTAACTGTTGTAGATCATAACAAATTTGAATATAAACGTTTCATTTGAAACTTCATTTTAAGCCAGAAATTGACATTTTTTTTCTTAAAATTGCGTCATATTTTGGTCATTATATACGATATTCTAAAGGAATTTTGCTCAACAAATAAACAAAGGTGTTTACCCGCCCTTTTTTACATTTTACTGCTTTATTATATCTGCCCCTTTGGCCTTGTTTAGACAATTTTTTACCACCGTAAAAATACCTCTTCCTAGAGTTATTTGTACGGTGTGTTTACCTTTTTTTTAGAATGGGACGAACTGTAAATAATTTTTAGGCTACTAGTTTTATACATACCTATATACAGAGTGACCCAGGCCTCCAAAAAAGCTTTTTACCTATTACGTTTTTGGTTTGTGATTTTTATTTCAATTTTTTACATAAGATGGGGGCCATTGTAACGCACATTTTCAAAATATTTTTGTCAACATACAGAGTGATTCAAACCGCAATACATATGCTTAATACAGTTCATGAAGATTCAGACATTTAACTAAAATTTGATTGTCTGATGAAGCTACCTTTAAAAGTAATGGGTTTGTAAATAAACGTAATATTCAATATTATGCGACAGAAATCCCATACTGTAACACACAGATTTGATACTTTTAATGATAATGCCTTCTATTGAGAGACTAAAAGGTAATTACCTCGTATCAGAGCCATCGTAATACAAGAAGAAGACCGAAAGTCAAATCTTGTCTTATATTTTCAAAAAACACAATTTTCTCATTAAATATTCATTTTAGGTATAGGAAGTTATTAATAATACAAGATTAAACAACTATTACACAGTACTTCACAGGAAGCTATCGATTGCGAACTAACTAAATCGTTACTAATTACTAATTTTGAAAAGTTCTTTTTAAGATCAAAAAAGGTAAAACTAAAACCCAAACTATCATTTGAGATTAAACGGGAAGTTCTAAATAATGTTGCCTATTCTAAACAAGAAAAAATTATTTATAAGTTAGATCTAATTAAATTTGGACGAAAAGTAAGAAAAATATTTCTGTTTGCTGTAGGTAATTTTCTCAGGTAAAATACGTAAATAAAAATTACTTTTTAAGTCAAAAAAAGTCGAAAGGACTGTCCTTTTCAAAAAAGGACAGATGGCAACCCTAGGTATTTCTGGAATGGAAATTTAATGGCAAATCTACAACTTTAGTTTGAAAATATGTTCCGGCCACCTATGTTTACAAAAATGTCTAAAATGTGCTTTACCATTGCCTCCATATTCTGAAAAAAATTGAAAGAAAAGTCACCAACCACAAACCTAATATAGAACTGTTTCAGAAACTTGGTCACCCTGTAAATATTCAAAAGTAACTGAAAGTTTATATAGAAGTAACTGAAAGTTTAAATTGAAAATCGACGTTGGAGCGATTTTCGAAAACTACCTACTAACGTTTCAACACAAGTATATATGGGATATTAATTATATTATTATATTAGACCTTATAACAAAACTCATCTGACGAAAAAGTGTTAATGTAGTATATTAATATGGAGTAAAAATTTTACTAATTACTTTACTTTTACTTTACTAATTAAATTCCTTCCAAAAAACGATACGCCACTGGCCATTAGAACAATCCAAATGCGCCTAGTTGCCGGGGTCGGAAATTTTAGACTTCTCTGTCTCTTCTGTCCTTGTTTGACACATTGGAATGTTTGATACACTTCCAACGAGTATTTATGAATGAGATGTTCGGTCTATCTTTATAATGTCTTTGGTTTAAATATAAATCCCGTCATGCGTCGTCTCTTGTTATTTTTAAGCAGTTTTATTGGTTTATTTAAAAAATGACAGATCGTATTTCAATTTTATTGGTTTGACGGAACGTTGAACGACAAACGGACGCCGATGCGTATGAACTCGCCTTTAGATTTTTGAGGCTTGCCAAATTCTTGTCAAATTATAGGTTATAATTTTGTGTCAACTTATGTCAAATACCCTGCGTTTTAGAAGATGGTGCATTTTGATTCGTGTTATTACGTGTGTTTTGTGTCTTTTGAAGTCAAGTGGAGGAAAAATCGAGGGAACATTAACTTTAGATCCAGAGCACAGTTTATAGTAAATACTCGGTGCCCAGGTAGAAAGTCTTATACACCAATAAAGTTACCATCAATAAAGTTTATAGCTGAGAGTATGACAAGATAGTACGTCATAGATAAGTGCATCTCGTATATGGTACAAGGATCGTACTAAAACTAAACATATACTAAAAACTGGGGTAGCTGTAAAATATCGATATCACACGATAGGTAAATAATGGATTTTAGTACTGCAGGAAAACAATGTCAAAAGGTACTGGTTTAAAAAAATTAAGATTAAAGTTAATTAATCAACCTTTAAAGTATAAAATTTGGTGTTATTAATAAAATAGTTTGTTTTATTTATGTTGTTTTATTTATTCCTATGGAATATTACAAATTTGTATTTGTATATAAGTTATATTGATAAATATTATAATAAATGCGGGAAGTTTCTTGAAGCTTGAAAGTAAGAAATAGTTCTTTTTATATTTTTTTTTGGTATGTTTTGTTTTGGTAGTTCTTGTTTGTTTTGTATTAACACTTTAACACATGCCGTTTTTTTAATAAAATAACTCGATTGGATTTTCTCAGTTTTATACAGTTCTTTTCACAATATTTTGAAGTAATCACTTGTTACTCAAATTTAAATATATTAATTTCCTGCTATGCATTCCAATTGTACCAACTTATTTCTTTGTAAAATAAAATAAACTACTTTAAAATTAAAATGACAGACACATCTATCATTGTCAAGGATCTTGTTGTTGGACAGACTATAGCTCTGTTTACAATACTATTATAGACAAAGGAATCAAGATTAGACGGACGGTTTCAAAGTCAGATAATTTAGCTACAAATTGGTAAAAACATTATCAAAATCGGCCAACTAGAATACAATATATAAATTACATGAAAACTTAAAGGTGCCCGTTTAAGTGTAGTTAAACAAAATAAGTAATTTATTTCATCAATTCAACTTACCGTGATCCGTAAAATTAAACAGGGGCGGTAGTTCGTTGCCGTTGGGCAGACGAGTTCCGGGCTCGCGAAGCTCGTTGAAGAAAGGATGAGCGCAAGCCTGCAGGGGACTGATCCTTGCCGAGGGAGTATATTCTAAAAGTCTAGCCACTAGTTCGACCGCTTCTGGAGGAGTGCGAGCACGAAATACCTAGAAAGAATGGAACTGTATCAGATCTAAAATTCGTTATACGTTCTATATTGAAAGCATAACAAACATTATAGATGTGTATTACTACATTTATCTGTAGTGTGACAGAAAACCAACAAAAAAGCTGTAAATGCACCATATGCGAGATATGGATGTTAGTAAATGAAATAATTATTCAATGTTCAATTATTATTACTAGCTCATTTAATGCTAATTAGTAATTCTCGATGTTCATATGAAGAAGAAGAAATGAAAATATAATTTTATATTTTATCCAAATGTTGCAGAAAAATCTTTAATACGTTTGTTGTTAGGAACGGTTGATTTTAAACAATTTATTAACAGAAAAAATTACTTGAAAAGTTGCTATTGTTGAAAGTTACTATTTTTTCCAATATACAGTTTTTTAATTTAATATACACAAAGTAAAATATTACTCTTACAGAAATATTCATTTCTTTTCCTCACTAATTTAAAAATGCCATTACAACAAAATTAAGAATCGGATCTGTTCTTTACATTTTAAGTAGAAAAATTAATCTGAAGGTATTCCAATTATTAAATAAACGTTTATATTACCGGTTTGTTTCTAGTAGCCATGTGTAAACACTATGTTGTGTGGCTGACACCTTTCAGCGTGTCATCGGTGTTGAAACAGCGTCCATAATTTTTTTGACACTGACACTGTTATTATAACGCTGCAAGATTTCCGCACGGAGTATCGTATTGAGACGCAGGCGCGGTGCAATTTCGTTGGGTTCGCTATGCCATGGTGTTGAAACAGCGTCAATGAATTTTTTGACACTGACACTATTAATATAACGCTGCAATCTTTCCGCGCGGAGTATCATATCGAGACGCGGGCGCGGTGCCATTTCGTTAGGTTGGCTATGCCAGCATGATACATGATACAATAAAACAGTTTTATTGTGTCATGCTGGGCCAATGTGATTCGATTTCTTGTTATATGCACACGAGCATCGATAATTGTTTGCAATTTTGCAGACCCAGTATTAGTGGAAATCTACGATAAATTTGTTATTGTTTATGAAATAAATATTACCGACGCGACGTCTCAAATATATGGTTCATGGGAGGATGGAGAGCTAAATCTGACGTAGACTCGCGTTTACATCTCGATTATTATTGTAATAAAAAAATTGATAGTAAACAATAATGAATTTTTTGTTTCTTATCGTGAAAAAAATATATATTTTGTTGATAAAAGAGTGGTTTTCTTACAATATGCATTCGATTTGATGCCTTTTAGTTTCGGTTTTGTTTAGGGAACACATCGTCGCGGCGCGTTGTTGCCAATGCTAATGTTAGTAGGGGGAGAATAATTATACGAAAATATTCAAGAGGCTAATCGATTATACATACGAATATTGTAAACTAAACAAAAACACGTGGTGTACTTAGTGCTATGGGAATTACCGATCTCCGATTTTGCGTAACAACTACCTCTGCAACCCACTGTTGCCATCATGTTTTTATTGAGTATGTGTGCCCTAATTTTCTAATTTAAAAGACTACTTTAGCTCTTCAAGATGCTTAAGAGTATACCTGTACTCCTATATTAGATAACATTGTATATGACACTACCCTTAAATTATCAAAAAAGTGTGTTTAATATTACTTGTATTTCAACGCAATTTTTCATCATTTGGCAACATGGAGTACCGCGTCAGCCGTCGGGCCTCTCGACAGTGAGCGGGAGAAACCCTGTGTTTGTTTAACTGAAATACCTAACGCTGATTCACTACTGTGCTATATGACACAATCGTGCTGATACTCTGTGTTGATACCGGAAAAGGTGTCGGTGTTACTGCATCAACACACGAAAAATTAGAGTGTTACCCATGACTAGTTTCTAGAAAGATTTTTTCAAATAAACCTCAAAAATGCCTCACGTAATTTATAGACACCCCCTAAAAAATAAACTAAAGAGATATTGTATTGTATTTGAATTGGGATTAGTTCTCAGCACAAACATTGTTGTACAGTCGCAAAAGTTATAGTCCGTTGTCCGTTACACAAATTAACTTTAAATACCGATTTAAATGAAATTTGATACGTCGATAGATTTGATCAAGGCCGACATGGTCTTAGGTGTACGACACGTGTCACTCCGACAGTTAGTTTTGACGTAAAAAACGTTAAAAGTGGATGTCGTCCAATCGCGGCCAAGTTTGGTGGGTAGGCTATGTGAGCGACGGTGCACACGGTCACACCCTGCAAAGTTGGATACGACGTTTCGTTTACATCTTTATCAGGGTGGGACTAAGGATTTGATATTAAAGAAAAATGTAGATCTATTCCGGCATAATTCGGGATGAGATACGGGATGTCGCCCTCGACATTTTGAACCGATCGATGCCTCTAAATGGACGAAATCATCAGGATTTATCTTAATTATGGGTCGATTGGAACCAAACTCGGCACGTGGATAGAGGTACCCAAATGGAGTCCTCAGACGGACAGACAGACTGAAGTAAGAAGTTTCACCTCAAATATGCTCACATAGTGCACACACAATTTTTTTAATTACAGATTTTATGAGCTTCTAAAGTCCCAAAACCAATGATGTATCGCATTTACTCGAAACAATTATATTAATGGCATTTTCTATAAGAACTCATGTGTTAGAGAGAAACAAGAATAGATTTTTGGTAAGATCTCACCACAAAACCTTTAGAGGTCGTTAATGACGCTGACTAGAATTTTCTCATATCTATACAGCGGTTCAGTACTGGATATGATTAACATAAATTGCTTCTTTGAAAGCTGCTATTTGGAAGAAGCAGTATCTGCTTTAAGCAATATTTAAAATTACTAAATTTCATCCCTAAAATTAACTCCAGATGATAATCGAAGGTGATGTGGAAAAATTAGCACTGGCAGAGATTTGTAACTTCCGGATTGGACTTCGGAAAACACGGCAGATTTTACATTTACACAGATCCGATTCCTATAGGTGATGTAACATTAGAATGTACTTTTAATAATGGCTTGATTCTCTCTCAGGAAGATTATCACTTACTCGAATTCGCTGATGCTCAGTACCGCATCGCGGCATTGACATTTTCGCCAGCATTAACTGCAATTAAACAGGCTCTCACATTACAGACCTTTTTTGCTAGCTCTGCATAAATGTAATAAGTCACAAATTTTGAATATTCTGAAGTCTGATTAATCGTTTCGGAACAAATAACTATTTAAATAATAGGAAAAACAATGGCAAACAAAAACTTTCAATAGTACCTTCTTATAAAGGCCTTTTGTGAATTAATTCATCATTTTTAATCTGAATCTGAAGATATCAATAATTGTATATATCAATTATAAATACGGGCGATAATAACAGTGCTGCACAATGTTTGTTTGGGTCCAAAACACAATTTATTAAAACTCCCATTTTACACTAAAAAAACAACTTAATTAATTCGTTCATTACAATTAATAAATAATTATAATGAACGAATTAATCATTTTGAACTCAAATTTTAAATCTAGGTTTTAATTCATACTGCTGCAGGACCCTGTATATTGTTATTATGCTAGCTAATCACTATGGAGTGTAGAGGTAAGGAGAAATATCTTCGTGCATTAAAAATGGCCAGACAAAAGGGAAGACTTAATATGGCGCTTCTGTAGCAAAAACCTAAAATTTGAAATATGCGCCGAAAATTTTTAGAACAGGAAAAGATTCAAACGAGATAAATATTTGACGTGAAGGCGCGGGTTTCAAAAAAGTACAACTTTTATTTTCATGTCACATGAAATAAATTATCGATTTTTATTCAGCAGCAATATACTGGGCCGCTAATATATAAAAATAATTGTTTTATATTCTAAAAAATAAAAACAAAGTTTTTTGGGTAATGTTTGGTTATGTTACTTTTATTCTCTAATCTATGATTACTTTTCATTTTTTAGATTTATGTGTCATTAGCGCCACTGTGGTTATTTAGTGAACCCTTATTCTTCCCATTTTTGTGACCACTTTTTCAATTAAAGTCCCATAAGAGATGTTTCCCCTCATCTCTACACTCCATACTAATTACTAGGCAATAAAAGCTTGAAAATTAAAAAAAAATCCAACTGAATGTGATACATCAACTTAAAAAAATATATATTTAAAAATATTAAGGAGTATCATACCTGCTGCCAAGGGTGGGATTTAATCTGCGGAAACTTAAATTCGGTATAGTTAGGATTCATTTCTTTGATTTGTTCCTTGGTTGGAGTTCCCAACACTTTAATAATCTCTACCAACTGATCTACTCCAGAGTCACCAGGAAAGATGGGCTGACCTAATAATAATTCTGCCAGAACACACCCGGCACTCCAAACGTCAATTCTTGTAGTGTAATCTATTGCACCAAAAATTAATTCTGGAGCGCTAAAAATAAACATCAGCACTTACAAACCATCTAATAAACTACTCAAAACAAATTCGCATTTTTTCTAAAAAAAATATTAATTGGAGAATTTTATATAATTTGGATACTATGACGGGAAATTCGAAACAATAAGCCAACGCGCTAACCTCTAATTTTTAATCGGCCGACTATTTATTTGGAAAAAAGTGAAAACAATACATACTTATGGAGCAGATCGGCCGACTATTTGATTGCATGTGAACGCGGCTCCATAAGAATATATTGGTTACAAATTCCGCGTGCATCTCAACAGTGGCTCACCCCCTATAACTTTTTTATTTTTTCAGATAAAAAAAGAGATTTGGTATGTTAGTATATGACATAAATTAGGATTGATTGACGTATTCAATTGTTTTCGGTCACTTCCTGTTTCACCGGAAATGACTACCACTTTTGATTTTTAAATGACACCCTCTGTATTTCTTTACTTTATTTGATAGAAAATAACACTCTGAATAGAATGACATATCATATGTCAACTTTTGACATTTTCGCATATGGTTTATTTGTAATTATAATTTGCTGTTCGTAACAAAAATTTGACTCGAAATACCAAGTGTGTGGTATCAAATTATTCCTAAAAAAATACTTTTTCCAAATATGCTAATGAGCCACCCTCGTTCCATTTGAAAAAATTGAGATGTTATTAAAAATACGATTGGAGCATTTTCTATAACTGACCAGGATAAGACATTAAAAACATTAGATGGTCAAATCTATTTTTCCAAGGCTCCTTGATTAGAATTAGTCTTTTTAACATAGCCATGGCACTCTAGATATTAAAATACGATTTTTTATTAAGCGAGGATGTCAAAAGTTGACATATGATATGTCATTCTATTAAGAATGATATTTTCTATTGAATAAAGTAAAAAAATACCGAGGGTGCCCTTTAAAAATCAAAAGTTACCTGTTCCAGTGAAACAGGAAACCAGTGAAACAGGAAATGACCAGAAACAATTGATTACGTCAATCAATTTATGTCATACATATATTAACATACCAAATCTCGTTTTTTTTATCTAAAAAAATAAAAAAGTTATAGGGGTAGTTATAGGGGTGAGCCACTTTTGAGACGCACCCGGTATACAACTAAATAGTCGGCCGATAAAAAATTGCCTGTCAGCGCATAGCCCAAGGCTACGTAATGTAATATAATTTCGAAATCCCGATATTAAATCCCGGGATCCTGAAAATCTCCAAACATTTAAATGCCTATTCTAAAATGATTCGACTTTATACACTTTAGTCTTTCAAAGATCATGTTTTATTTTACTAAGCAGAACGTCAGTATCTAAAAGTTATACAGGGTCACTGTTATGTATGGAAACGGTCGATTATTAGGTAAAATATAGGAGATACCGCAAAAAGTTAAATGTAAAAATTATAGGGTTTATAAATATCTATTAGCGGGTAATAAATTAAATATACAGGGTTGGTCATAAAGTCGTGGCACATCAAAGTTTTTTTTTTAAATGGAACCTCCAGTATGTTATTGCATATTTTGCTTCTTCCTTGAATTCTAAGCAAAAATCGAAATAACACACAATGTACCTCAAACCAACCGTTTCAGAGTTATTGACTTTTGAAAATATCACTTAAACAATTTGATTTAATTAATTTCGATATGTTCAGTTTCATTTAACGATGCCCTTCTGCCGAAACTGTAATACTTAATAATATTTGACATTAGTTCTCAAGTTAGCATTTATAGATGTATAAAATGAGAGTAAGTATATGTATCAAGTCTGGAAATTACAAAATTTTCGTATAACATTTCAATTCTTCAATTTATGTACATTGTGTATTACGATTATTGCTTAAAATTAAAGGAAGAATTGAAATATGCAATAATATACAGTGGGTTTCATTTTAAAAAAATAAAGTTTGATGTGACACAACTTTATAACCGACCCTGTATACTTAAATTTACTAGTAGCTAATAGGACTTTAAAAACCCCTTATAACAGTATCACAGTTTCGGCAGAATGGTATCGTTAAATCAAACCAAACACATCGAAATTAAATAAATTGAATTGTTTAAGTGATATTTTTAAAAGTCAATAACTTGGAAACGGTTGGTTTGAAGTACATTATGTGTATTTCGGTTTTTGCTTAGAATTGAAGGAAGAACTGAAATATGTAATAATATACAGGGGGTTCTATTGAAAAAAATGAAACTTTGATGTGCCACGACTTTATGAACGACCCAGTATAGTTAAATTTATTACTCGCTAATAGATATTTAAAAATCCTATAACTTTTGTATTTAACTTTTTGCAGTACCTCCTATGTATATTTTACATAATAATCGACCGTTTCCTTACATAAAAGCGACCCTGTCCTTTTCTCCTGTATTTTTTTTAACAAGAATTGACTTTTTTAATCACTAATTATGAATATTACTTTGTTTTGTCTATTCTAATAAAGCTCTATTCTCATTTTCTTTTTGATATATCTAGCTGCATTTTTATTAAGAAGTATTTCTTTAGATTAAATTTCTCATTCTGATAGTCAATCCCGGGATCCCGATCCTGAAAATTGGAAACCCTAGTAATCAAATATTGGGCCGATCGGCTCCATAAGAATCAATACATCCTTATGGAGCAAGAATGCATTTTTCTCAAAATGTGAATAATAAAAAAGTTTTGGGACATACTGTATAATTTACATATTTCTTAAAACGGTTTACACAAAAGCGTTGACATTTGATAAGTAGATGTCATAAATCAAATTGTGTTTTTACTCTTATTTCTCGAAAAACAATTACACCCGGACATTTTTCGCACTTATTCATTCACACCCTGTATAAATATGGACAACACTTACCGATAGTATCGACTACAAATATACGACACATTTGGTTCTCCCTTAACTAAGTGTTTTGCACTGCCAAAATCACACAATTTTAAAACGCCAGTTTCGGGATCCAATAACAAGTTCTGTGGTTTGATATCCCTGTGACAAATGCCCAACGAGTGGATGTAAGCTAGAGATCGAAACAACTGGTACATATATAACTGAAAAAGGAAAAGAATATTAATTATAACATATTGCGACAATAGTAAATGTTTGAAAGCAGTAAAATCTTTGTATGTTGCAAATGAAAGACAAAATAGAACCGCATCTGTTGCAGGCATGTTATAAAACACCGTAATTTTAAACAAAAGAAGGAATTTTACAAAGAGCCTATTTTCAGTCGCTTTGCAAAGTTCCTAATCAGGATTAGTGATGGGAAAAACCGATTAATTTCAATAATCGAGTACTCGAGTACCAAGCGATTGCAATAACCGAGTGATAACTCGAGCGAAATATCGCTCGTATTTAAAAATACGGGTTTTTGTCCGTCGCATGTTGTAAGTACTAGTTAACGCCAAGCGTCAAGCGTCAAGCAGTAAGCTGCGTGCGCAGAGCACATATTCTTTCGGTAATGAACGGCAAGTAGTAAGCGCCCGAGCGATTCGTTTGATCGCCTGATTTAGTTTATTTCGAAGCATTGTCGATGTAGGTCGTAACATTTTGTCTCTCAGATACGCAACGGATAAATATACCGGGTGCGTCTCAAAAGTGGATCACCCCTAAAACTTTTTAATTTTTTCAGATAAAAAACGAGATTTGGTATGTTAGTATATGACATAAATTAGGATTGATTGACATATTCAATTGTTTTCGGTCACTTCCGATTTCACCGGAAATGATTGCAACTTTTGATTTTTAAATCGCATCCTCGTATTTTTTTACTTTATTCGGTAGAAAATGACACTCTGAATAGAATGACATATCACATGTCAACTTTTGACATTTTCACATATGGTTTATTTGAAATTGTAACATGCGGTTCATAACGACAATTTGACTCGAAGTACCAAGTGTGTGGTATCAAATTATTCGCAAAAAAAATCTTTTTCGAAATATGCTAATGATCCACCCTAGTTCCATTTGAAAAAAATTGAGATATGATCAAAAATACGATTTGGGCATCTTTTAACCGGCCAGGGCAAGACCCTAAAATCATTAGACGATCAAATCTATTTTTCCAAGGCTCCTTGATTAAAAATTACTGTTTTTAACACAGCCATGGCACTCTAGATTGAAATTTAAAATACAATTTGTTTTTAAGCGAATATGTCAAAAGTTGACATATGGTACGTCATTCTATTTAGAATGTCATTTTCTATCGAATAAAGTAAAAAAAATACCGAGGATGCCATTTAAAAATCAAAAATTGTAGTCATTTCCGGTGAAACCAGGAAGTGACAGAAAACAATTGAATACGTCTAAATCAATCCTAATTTATGTCATATACTAAACATACCAAATCTCATTTTTTTATCCAAAAAAATAAAAAAGTAATAGGGGTGAGCCACTTTTGAGACGCACCCGGTATATACGGCGTCGTATAAATTTGCTACCTGTAATGTATGTAGAAAATTCGCTCGGCTCGAGTAGGTCACATTAAAATCGGATTTCAATTTATTTCATTCTAGGATCGCTTGCGTTCGTCGCTTAGAACTCGTCACTTGCATCGCTCGTTCATAATCGAGCGATGTCGGTTATTTCAATAATCGAGTACTCGAGTGAATTTTCGCTCGAGTTGTCCCATCACTAATCAGGATTAGGCATATTAAACAATGATATTTTCTGTATATTTCTGCAAAAAGACTGTCTGTTTTCAGTCATTTTACAAACTACCAAATCGAGACCAGGCAGATTAAAAAATGATCAAAGTTTAGTCCGCTATATGCTTAGTGGAACTTTTCTGTATTTTAGAATAAAATTAATTTGGGTCTTTATAATATTCGCCCTTGACCACACTTTCATTAACAGAATCATCACTATTTTGTGTATTTTTTCCTAATTTTGAAAAAGATATGTCCCTTAGAGATTTAGGTTAGTTATACTCTCGGTTATACCAATCCCGCGTAAAATGTTTTGTGTAATCTGACTAGTCTTCATTATACATTTTGAAGAATGACTGAAAACAATTCAAATTCGACGCTTTCAAATGGAAACACCCTTTTCTATAGGAGATAGAGGAAAACTAATATCGGTGTCTGGAGCTCAATTTTCATCAAAAACATGATGGTGAAAACCGCACATCAATATCTGTTACCGTTTCGGAGTAACGGGGTGTTTTTCAAAAATGTGCATTTTTAACAAATCGCTTAACTTTTTTTCTACGGAAAATTTTGTATTTCTATGAAAACATTTCCAAAGCATCTTTTTACGTAGAATTTAATGGTTTAAGTATAATTTTTTTAAAATTAATAATTTAAGAGTTATGAACAGAAAAATTGATTTTTTACTTGGGACACCCTCTATGTTTTTCATTAACTGAAAAGAATTTAAAATTACCTTTCCAAAAATATAGCACACTTGATATTTTCTTATAATCCCCTTCGAAATACAGAATTATTAAAAGTTTGTCACTTTTAACTAGTAGGCTTTGGACCCCTTATTGATGATATGCCCTTAATGGAACTCGAAAATATATTTTTCCAGCAAGACGATGCACCGCCTCTGAACGCTGAAGTTGTCAGCAAATTTTTGCAGCCAATTTCAAGAATAATTCAATAGCTAACCAAGATCCCAGCCGTTGGCCGTCGAGGCCGCCTGACTTAATGCTCATGGATCTAATCCTATGGATATATTTGCGGAAAAATAAAGGTTCCTTATTCTTTCGTATAATCTAGACAAGAATTAAAAATACTTAGCAGTTATGAGAGGGTATCTTTCACCCCCACTGAGTTAATGAATTCCGCGAGAAATGTTCAAAAACTGCCCCGTCTGTCCATAACAGAAGACGATATGTCGATATGTCGAACACCTGTAGCAAAATCTCATGTCTTGGTTTGCTATTTATTTTTATTGTTATTAGATATAGTTTAAATGTGTTGATGTTGGTTAAATATATTTTAAATTGTTATAAAATTCCGCATCTCTCATAGCAAATATTATTTTCGTTTTAATTGATGCTCCCATCTAGACTTTTTTTGCATTACAGCCGGTGCCGTTCAAAGCCTACTTATTTAAAGCGGGCGAATTTTTATATACTCTATATCTCGAAGAGGAATCGAGCAAAATATCAAGTGTGTTATATTTTTTGGAAAGGTAATTTTAAATTCTTTTCAATAAATTAAAAATATACAGGGTGTCCCATATAAAAAATAAAATTTTCTGTTGATAATTCTTAAATTATTAATTTTAAAAAAATTATACTTAAACCATTAAATTCTACGTAAAAAGGTGCTTTGGAAATATTTTCATAAAAATACGAAATTTTCCATAGCAAAAAAGTTACAGCGATTTGTTAAAAATGCATATTTTTGAAAAACACCCCGTAACTTCGAAACGGTAACATATCGATATGCGGTTTTCACCATCATGTTTTTGATGAAAATTGAGCTCCAGACACCGATATTAGTTTTTGTCTATCTCCTATAGAAAAGGGTGTTTCCATTTAAAAGCGTCGAATTTGACCCACCCTGTACAGTACATACAAATATCATAATTGAACACAGGATCCGGCAATAGTGCGTTGGGCATCTGTAGCTCATAGAATAAAAAACTTGGGAATTTTGTTTAAGTGCAACCCTAAAGTATGTACTAGGATGTATTTCATGAAAATATGTTAACTTCTATAGGATGGCTTAAAGAAGTGTGAATGGATCGGGATGACTTTTTTAAATGGAACACCCTGTATATTATTGCTTCCTTTCAGATCACTTTACATAATCCTAAAACATGAGTAAAATATTTCGAGAATTTCAGAGATAATAAATAAAAATTATATATTTTTCAGCCTTTCTTAAAAAAATCATTAAAAATAAAAGAATTGTCCTGAACTCAAAAGTATATTCAGTATTTACTTTAGATGATCTGTTCTTACTTTACTATAAATATGGTAATCGTAAATCATACAGGATGTTCAATATTTTACACCAAACTTTCTAAAATATAAAATATTAGAACTGTCCTGAAATTAAAACTATATTAGGCATTTACTTTAGATGGTCTCTACTTACTTTGCTATAAATATGGAAATCGTAAATCATACAGGATGTTCAAAATTCTACGCCAAACTATCTAAAATATAAAATATTTTTTCTTCGTTTTTTTTTAATGAAACACCCTGTATATTATTTTATCAATAGATAGAGAATTAAATAATGAACATTTTTTGTATTTAGAGTATTTCAAAATTTTTAACGGTTTCGCAGATATTCCCAGTTTTATATTTCATACGGCATTTTCCACAGTAAATATCAAAGCCATCCAATGATTTTTCACTTGTATTTTACCATTCAAAGCGCCATATGAAATAATACTACGTGTATCTGCAAAACTATTAAACATTTTGAAATACTTTAAATACAAAAAATGTTTTTTAACCCTCAATCTAATAAAAAAATAATATACAAGGTGTTCCATTTAAAAAAACAAAGAAAAAATATTTTATATTTTAGAAAGTTTGGCGTAAAATATTGAACAACCTGTATGATTTACGATTACCATATTTATAGCAAAGTAAGAACAGATCATCTAAAGTAAATACCTAATATAGTTTTGATTTCAAAAGAGTTCTTGTATTCTCGTTTTTATTCTAGGAGCTACAGATGCCCGACGCACTATTGCCGGACCCTGTATAATTTTGATTAGGACTTTTGCAATGCGATTGAAAACAGATAAGTTCTTTGCAAAATTTCCTACTTTAGTTTAATATGCCGGCCTTATAATATGCCATTTTGCAATTTTTGCAAAAATGCCCAGCGACATATTACAAAAAATAAATATTTAGATATGTTATCCGTACTAGTGATGAAACGTTTAGATTTTGCAGTAATAATTTTCCATAAGGGTGAACCTTCCAGATATAGCCATTACAAACTAAATAATTTTAAGCTATTAGCTATGGACTCTTTGGACACACAGCCACTTCTGATCCAGACACTCAATTGCAGAAATCCCCAAGTTGAAAGAGAGTAAAAAATGGAGCATTACTTCGACTAATACAGACAAA